CAGTTACATCTAGTAAATTTATTAGTAAATTTATTAGTAGATATGTCTCTATGGTATCATAAAGAAGAGCATAGACTTTGGAATTCAATGGGTTGAAATTTAGCTCTTTTAATTATGAGTTATATGATTTTAGGCAAAATACTTAATCTCCCTAGGTTCTTTCACTCCATTGGTGAAATAGAAAAAGTGCCAAAGAAAGTTATGGCAAAGATTAAATTCAACAGTGTATACTAAGTCTTAGCACTCTAGCACAATGCTAGTTCAATGAAAGATAACATTACTATTCCTTAGATGATGATCATTAATACAAAACTATGAGTCTCTTGAAGGTTAGGAATTCTCTCTCTAATATTTAGAAACTACAGATTGGAAGGAAATGACAAGAGTTAGGGCTAGTAAAGCCAACAAGAACCACATTATGAAGGGTTAAGGAGCTTAGCCTTTATTCTTCAGACCATGAAGAATAATCAAGGGTTTTGTAACACCTAAAGCAAAGAGCAAGCTAAAGATGACATTTGTGAGTACTGAAAGAAGACGGCCAGGAGCGCTGCATGAGACCATTGAGCTTTATGGTGACTGACATCAATAATGCACTCAGGCAATAGTTACATGATGTCAGTCTTTCAGATGAAAATAGGAAACTTCAGTCAAACATCTGGTTGTTTAGTCTACCCAACATCAAAGACCTGGCTGTTCTGAAACTTTCAGATGTTTGGCTGAACGGTTTAGTTTTCATCTTCATCTAAGAGGCCTGGTAGACACAATCACTATGATTTTTGTCAGTTTTAGGCTTGGGGTTAGTTTTTTTTAATTATAAAAACATTTTTATGACAACATAAAAGGAACATTTTAAAACGAAAAACAAAACCTCTCTCATTCTATCTCTCTAAAACAACTGGCTTTATTTTTGCATATTCCCTTTATAGCACATAAAGTTTACACTGCTTACCCACAGTGAACATGCTTGTACTCTCTCCTTTGTACTAAAAGTTATACTGTAATATTTAAATTTTAGCATAATTTACACTTGAAAATAGTTTTTGCTACCAATCAGATATGCTAGAATCTACTTAATTTTAAATCCTGAAATTTTTGTTGCCTTTGATTTTCCATTAAAATAAATAACTTTCATACTTATTGTTTTTTCCTCTAAATAATTTTATAGGCTAACAAAAGGTCAAAGTTACTTATGACTCAATAGAGTTTTCTATATTTCAAAGCAATTATATTAACTTACACTGATAATAGCAATTTATGAGTTCCCTCTTTTACCACAATCTTATCAATGCTGACGTTATACTTTCAATGTTTTAATTTCTTGCCAAACAAGTTATGTGTAAAAATTATTTTCAACACAGATAACTGTATCCAGAGAACTACCAATCAAGTGTGAAGGTAAAATTAAGACATGTTAAGACTTGCAAAATCTCAAAAAATTATTTCTCATGCCTCTTTTCAAAGAAGCTATCTTCAAAAGAAGGAAGCAAAAAAAAAAAAAAAAAAGGAAAATGTAGGGTTCATAAAACAGGAGATATAATACAGGAGACAGGCAAAGAGAACCCACACAATGATTATAAAGGAAATTCCTAGGATGACAACTGTTAAGAATGTACTGCTGACCCTCGAACAATGCAGAGGTTGGGGGTGCTAATACCTCACATAGTAGAAAATCTATGTATAACTTTTGACTCCCCAGAAATTTTACAAATAGCCTCCTCTTGACTAGAAACCTTACTGACAACATAAACAGCTAATTAACACACTTCGATAGTATATGTATTATATACTGTCTTCCTACAATAAAACAAGCTAAAGGAAATGCTATTAAGAAAATCATATTTATCAATACCTTAATTTTACAGTCTGTTTATAAGAAAATCTGTGTAAGTGAACTCACAGTTCAAACTCTGTTGTTCAAGGGTCAGTTTTATAAAGACTGGAGCAAATGGAGGGCTCCAGGACTTAGATCTTCAGGAAATAAATGGGACAGATAAACAACATATTTGATAATGTAAAAAATAAAGATATAAGGACTAAGCAAATGAAAAAATTAATATTTCTAGTAAGAAGTATATGTACAAGAAATATAATTACAGTACAATGCTTTTAATTTAACAATAAATAATACTCATAATTCAAAGTGTGAGTTTTTATTTAGCAAAAGTCATATTTTAACTACATTAGGGAGAGGAAATAGAGGTTTAACATGATGGAAGACAGCTGAATCCTCATTTTTGACAACAGGAGTTCAAAAGATTATGTCTAATATTGATAAATCAGAAAGAATCAGTATATGCATATTATCTTTTAATATGGATAAAACCAGAAAAATAGCTAAAAGAGTTTGGGAGAGGGTTTGAGGTTAAGGATGGGTGAAGCTAAAGATTACTTTTTCATCATGAGTTTTATTGTATTATATGACTTTATAAATAATATGAATGTGCTAACTTGATTAATTTTTTTACCTTTTCATCATTTGAAGTTCCTTAACCGAGATTTTTATCATGTGTATTTCACTGTTGACTGTATGTTATTTAACATTTATATGCATGTTAGGTTTCTTACCTGGCACTGGAGATAACTAAAAAGGCAAAAGTCAATCTTTACCCTCAAATAACTCATGGTACAGGTGGGAGAGAACGATAAGTAATCAAGTATGTAGTTATTACAAGATAACAAGTGCTATAATGGAGACATATGGGAGCATAAAGGAGTGCATGTCTCACTTTGCCTTGGACCTGACTTGCATCTTAGAGGAGGATAATGGAAGTTTTTCAGGCAAACGGTTTTGATGTAAAAAGGGCTGGAGCATTAGCAACTTTCCTTTGACAAGTCTACTAAGGGTAGAAGGCAGGGTGTGCATAATGTGGGATTCAATTTAACCTTTATTCAGTTTTATTTGGGTCAGGCCAAGTTTTGTGGCTTTCTGTGGACATTTTTAAAACTCAAAAATATGCCTGTTCTTAAAATGCAGCTGGCATCCTGACTTTGAGGTGAAAATATGCAAATATCTGAAAAATTCATCTACAGTATAAAATAAATCCATTTACAGTCTTGCTTCCATCTAAAATAATGACTCCAGAACTTTGCACATATCAAATACAACAACTCTCCTAACTGCCTGTTTAGTTTCATATAAACTTTTCAAAACTTAAACCTTTCTTTTTTCTCTTAAATTGTTAGCAATTCAGTGAAATATACCTGTGAATGAAGTTGAAACATTTAGTCTTTCTCTCTACCTGACCCCTCCAGAAAATGAACATTTATTAAGTATTCTTATTTTCAAGGCTATATATAGAGAGAGCAGTTTATATAAGATTGTATATTAAGGTTCCAGCAAAGCATTTTTAATATTTTTATGGTTAAGCAAAATAAGTCAGAAGGAAAAAGAAAAATATTGAATGGCTTCACTTACAGGTGGAGCATATGAAACCAAACAAAGGGTCAGGAAAAAAGCAAAACTTGCAAGCTGACCAAAGACTTGAGGCAAACAGCAAGTGGGGGCAGAGGGGTCAAAAGAGGGGTGGGAAGAGCACAGGGACTATGGTGATGGTTCACGGGTACTGTGGTAGCGGGAGAACTACGGGGACTGCGTCTGAAGGGAGAACAATGACAAAAAAATTTTTTCCCCAATAACGAAAAGAGTTTATATGGTTAATCATTATTCTTATTGCATGTACTTAAAAAACAGGCCTAGTTTAATGAAACTGGATGTATTTTACATGCAAATTATTTTTACTGTTATTATCATTAATAAAAGTGAAAGTGATGATAGAAAAATCATGTATGTACCTTTACAGATCTTAGACTCTAGTGCTATTAATTGCCTTTCAGGTTTATTTTCTACCTACAAATGGTACTGCATACTGAATTCTGCTAGCTTCCTATAATACTTTCTCATCAAAATTATTCAAACTAAAAACCAGGAAAAATCTGTCGGGTTGTCATTGCCTGCCCTTAGTCTACCTATAGATGCTTGAACTCTTACATCTAGAAATCTTTAGCTAGCAATAGTTTCCCTCAGGCATTACTTCCTGGAGATATAATTCCAACTTGGACTTAGCATTTTGCTTGTTATTATAGGAATTTTAGTTCCTGTAAAACTGTCTCCTCTGCCTAGTTTAAAGTTAAAAGGATACTGCTTGGATAATGGGACTTTGAGATGATTACTAAGGCTTATGAAACATAACCCCGAGAAACTCCCCGAGGAATAGAAGAAGATGCTCACCTAAAGGAAAATTGACAGTAAAGTCTTTCTCTGCTCTGGTGTTCTTGTTGCTCAACTGTAGCCTAAAGGGTCCCAATAAGCCACTTTCACTCATCTGTAGGACATGACATATATAAGAAATGAGTCTTCTGAAATTATAAGGAACTCAGTCCATTGACAGATTGGCAATCTTTCTGAGAAAGAACTTGAGAAAAGTGGAAAGTTGACATTTGTGGAGTTTTTTTGTCTTTTTTTTTTTTTTTAATGGAACTGGGGAGCCATTACTGAGAAATTGCATTAGTCCATCTCCTTTGAACTGGGCCAGAGACCTTTGGACTTGGCCAAAAGCAATTGTTTTAGAAGTTATTCAGCTCGTGAAAACTGGTGATTATGGAATTGTTGCCAGAAAATAGAGCCAATTATGTATGACCAAGGAAGTTAAGAATTCATTTAAGCTTGCTTACAATTATCAATTCATGTCTTTAGTCACTTAACCACTTGTATCCCTCTTTTCCTCCAATAAAAAGGACTTTGTCCTTCTTAGGAGCATCTTTTAGAGGTTTTCTACCCGAATCTATATCCCAAATTGCAATTCTTTGATCCCCAAAAAAACATGCTTTGCCTATTTAATTGCCTCTTGAATTTTGAGGTTGACAAAACCCTATTGTTTAACAGAGAGGGGCTACAGAGCACAGCATTAAGATCCTTAGACTTTTCCCCCTTAGGAATAATTTTGAAAGGCTCTATGAGACACTGATTTAAATCTTTCTGAGGTCTTCACAAAAGATTTTATCATTTCATCCTCGACTTGTTTTCACCCTGCGATCCCATTTTACTATCAATAACTGGGATTTGATCTTTACCATGAGGCCATTTGTTCCTTTGAAATTCTTATGCTGACTAGAAATACTATATGGGCCCTTTAGTTTATGTCTCGTATTTTACTGTAGATAGCTTAAAAAAAAAAAAAAAAGTCAGTTTTGCACTTTGTGTTCAGAAACTCCCCAGACAGATCCTTTGGCCCATTCGGTATTTATTTCCTATATTACCATAAAGTACCATGTTACCAAAGTTTCCTCCAGCTTCCAATAACAATTGCTTGACTGTTCTGCCAAGTCCTCATCAACAGTTTCCTCCAGGACTTTCCAGCATTCACCAACAGTGAAAGAGGTCTAGGGAGGCAGGGATGGGCACCACACATAGCATAAGCTGCATGTATACACTATATGACTAATGTTTTCTTCAAGCGAAAACTCTAGCTTTAAACTGAGATTCATGCCCCGATGATGCCCGAAAGAGTGCCAGACATTGATGCCACCAGAAATTAACCAGGATTAGTAGGCTGGGATGTAGCAGAATCAACATAACCAGGAGGCTGATAACAAGATCTGGGGGCTGAATATAAAGACTACTAGAAATATGAGCTGTGATGGGCTATTTGCTTATGACTGTCTCTGTCTATCTCATTATAAAAAGGCTAGCTAGAGATGAGATATCAGAAAGATTTCTTCCGGGTGTTATGCCTGCCATTTTCTCAGGTCACCAGCTATCTGAAAAATAAAATCACTGATAGATTCAATTCCTGTCTCTGCTTATTGGCTTTTTGGTAGTTCCAGGCAGCATCAAAAATCTAGCCTATTCAGTATTCACAGGTTCCTGAAGGTTATTCTAGTCTCCACCCTCTGCTAAGTCTCAAAGCCAGTATCCATGTTTCAGGATTTGTGTTATAATAGCACCCCATTTCTGGGCATCACCTTCAGTTCTAATTATCAGTTATTGCTTACTATTTTTTTCCAAAACTTAATAGCATTAGAAAAATTAGGTAAATCTTAAATGCTCAAGACTTCTGCTCCACATGGTTAACTGGGGTCAGTGGATGACAACAGCTAGCAGTTAGGCTGGTCTGGAAGATCTGAGATTAGCTTCACTTACACGACACATTTACTAGGACAACAGGAAAGTTGGATTCTGCTAAGCCTTTCCTTTCTCATTCTCATTAAGGCTAAGCTCCCCAGGCCCTGATCCTCTGTATGTCAACAAGTTCTCTCCAAAAGTTGTATCAGACATCTTTTATGACAGCCAAGAGCTCCAAGAGGCAGTATTTAAGAAGTAGGAAGTAGAAGCTTTCAGTTTTTTAAGTTCCAGTCTTAGAAATAGACTGTGTCATTTCTGCCATATTTTATTAAAGCATTGATAGTGTCTCCTCAGATTCAAGGGGAAAGGGCACAGACACTATCTTTTCATAGGAGTAGCACCCAAAAATGTATAACCATATTTAATTTGCCAAATAAAGTTAACAATAAAGTCAAAACTTGAATCCAGATCTTTTGCTTTCAGGTGCATGTGTGTGTCAATATAACACTCATCTATGCATAATTAAATGAATGTTTCTGGACTACCCCTCTCTGCCAGTACCATGTTAGATGCTGCTAATACCATGTTTTATGCATAAAAATGATGTTAACTCTGTGCTGGGGTAGTTCTCAATTTAAAGAAGTCAGTAGATATGTTCACAGGTAATGTTAAATGTTAATAGAGAGGTTTGTCAAATGCTGGGCAAACACAGAAAAGGAAGGAAATATCTATAGTGGTGAAAAGGGACTATTGGAAGGATTTCTGAGACATGACCTGAGTCGAATTCTAAAAGCAGAAGAGAATTTGTTGAGAATAGAATGAGTCCAAGGGGAGGTGGGTAAAGAGAATGGTATTCTTGGGAAACAATGAAGAATTCACAGGTTTAATGTAGAGGATGTGAGGACCATGAATGAGTCAGAAATTATCTTTACATTTTTTTCTTGAGGGAGTCAGAGAGGCATAGGGAGAAAGTGATTGGATACTTCATTTCATCTTAATGTTTTTCCTGTTGAAGAACAGCATTCTGGCTCCAAAGTTTTCCATTCTATGATCCTTTTTGCAACATGCCCTCCCCTTGTTTCTTTTTTAAATCATGGTAGTAGGATTATAGGAAGATGACACCAGTTAGTGTGCTAAATTTATATCTAGCATATAAACTTCTGTCTTTCAACATGTGTGCAAGTCTGGGTAACAGACTGTGTAATGAATATTAATCAAGCCCTTTTTTATGGTTATTTGAAGCCCTACACTTTGAGACTGACCCTAATACTAGCTGGAGTAGAGGTTGATATGATGCTACAAAAAGATCGTTTTACTGGACATCAGACACCAATATGCTAAGTTAGGGGCCCATCCTACTATCTGTCCTCTGTGATGCCTTTGTGAAAATCAGAAATAGTTACATACTCCCAGAAAACACAGCTCTACAGCAGATTTCAGTGGCTTAAAGAACAGAGTGAGGACTGAAACAGCTGACACTGGTTTCCTAGGATGGGCACCTTTGTGATGTATAAAACGTGCAACTGTATGTTCTGTCCTTACCTTATTATTGGTGTTCCATTGTTAAATTCAGAACAGCAACTGTGGACACACACCAGAGAAACTAGTTTTCATTCCTTTCTCCCCACATCTGTTGGTTCTAATATTCTGTGACTTACTGTTCAAACACTAAGTAAATCCTCCTCCTTCTTTTCATTTCTCTGTATGATCCAAGGACTGCTACCCTGGAATATAGAGCATCATTTGTCAGAATAACTTTTGCAAGAATAATTATCCATACCTTTGCCTGCTTTGGGAAAATGACTTTTTAAAGTTTTTTTTAATTATTTACTGTGCAAACCATTTCGAAACACTAATACCAGGAAGAGAGCACTAGTGCGTACACAGTAAACACACATTGCCAACAATCCTGTCTGCTATCAAATAAGCCACTTTCATTTTTCCATATTACCTTGGTGACCATTGTCTCCAAGTTCCTAAATTCCAAACTCTGCAACATTTGTCACTGGTCATTTAAATGAGAAAATGTATTTCATTTTATTTTATTTTTTACTAAATAGTATATAGCACAAGAAACCTTTATGTTTCATTTATGTATAAATCTAACAAATACCTACATAGTTCTTATCATGTGCCAGGCTCTTAGATGCTGAATGATCAGCAGTTAACATGACAAAGCCTTACTCCATAGAATTAATTCCAACAAATTAAGAGAAATAAATACATACAATTAAATGTCTTGTGCCATCAACACAAACAATGGAAGGCAAAGGAATAGAGGATACTATCACAGAGAGTTGTTACAGGGCAACCCAGAGGATGATGGGGTGACCTAGGTTATGAGTCCTCACTTGGGCACTTAAGAACATAGGACAGATATAAAAACAGACACATGAAAAGGAACAACAGGATTTATTTACATAGGGATGAGAAAAAGGGGGAGTAGGGAAGGGGAAGAGAGAAAATTAATAGGCTGGCATGTGGCCAGATGCTGTCTATTCTACTCCAGATACATCTGCTGAGCAGAGACCAAGGTTCAAACCTAAGCCCCAGGTGGCAAGTTGGTGGCTTCTCCACAAACACTCCTCCTCACTAGCAGTTTAACTGTGAAGCCCAAGCGATTTAATAGCCAATGTGCCTGCTGGTTTAACTGCCCAAAGCCCCAGCTGAATCCTTATTTCCCATTAGCCCCTGCCACTCCACCCCCAGGGCTCAGGAGGTAGGGTCTGAAAAGCTTCACCTTCTACCATCAGTAGCTATGAGGGCCACTCACTGGCTCAGAGTTGTGAAATAGGGCTCTAGCGGGGCTATAGTATCAGAAGGACAGTGCCCAACAGAGGATAGGTCTCTTCACCCTCACACACAACTGAAAGACCACTCAGGCCCAGGAAGTGACAGTGGGGATTATTTAACAAACAGGGAAAACAAGGAGTTCTAGGGCCATGGTACCCAGCTATCTTACCCCAGATAGTGTGCAGTGTCTAAAGGTCTTAAACTAAAAGTCCCTCATCCAAGATGACACTGTCCCATCAACCAGGGCCTGGAGCGTGTGGCATGCCGGCAAGCAGCAGGCCAGGATCCAACTCATCACAGCTGGAGGTGCTCACAGATGGGTTCCTGAGATGAGGCCACAGCAACTCAGAGCAACAGTCTGAAGGTCAGGGTGGACAGCACCAAATGCTAGACCAGACAGCAACAGAGGCAGCATCACTGGGAGGCGGTGGCAGATGATTAAGGAGACCCGAACATAGAGTGCTGGTCACCCAGTCTCTAGCATTAGGGCTCTTTGTGAGTTGTTGGCCCTCACCAGGAACAAACAGCTCTATGAGACACCAGGCCTGGGGTCCTCGGTCCTCCTTTCAGACGATGTGAGAGGCAGCCTGCAGGCAGGTGGGGCCGGCCGGGCCTCTGAGTAGATCTTTGGTTTCGCCTCTTCTTTTGAAGGTCAGCTGTTGGATGCTACTTCTTTTCCCTTTGGAGGTCAGGAACAGAGTCAGTGAAAGAGTATGAGAGTTTGAGAAGCTCCCTTCTGAGGCCAGAAACTGAGAGTCAGAGTCCTTCTCAAGCACAGAGTGAATTAGTCCAGCAAGTCTGGGAGCCCAGATTGGCTCCTGCCCTGCCTTATATCCTCTTCAGGGTCTCCCATCTACAAGTCTGATTGGACTGTTTTTAATCCTATGCTGATTGAACCATTTACTAATCAGTTCATAGTTCCCACCTGATCGATCCAGTCTACAATCCAGGAACAAAATCCACAGGCCTTTCTACTGCCCGCAGCTGGAGGGAGCCACAGTGATGGAGCTGGCCCAGTGGGGTCGCATGCTCCTCCCTGCATCCCTGAGCCAGAGGCTGCATGTCCTTGATGGGGGGCGGGGCATGGTAAAGAAACCACTGCCACCTTCCATCACTACTGGCCTCTGCTGGCAGTCTGAGCTCCAGTGGGGCCACTGGTGAAGGGCAGTAAGATGCCCACCATCTGCTGCCCTTGCACTGCCCACAAGCAGCACTGTGGGGCCAAGGTGCTGGAGCCCGGAAGGGGAGATATCTCTAGTTTCAGTTGTTCCCCGCTGTTCCTCTTACAGAGTGACCATTTTACAAAAAAAACCTCTTGAATATACAGTTACTTAAACATTTCCATACTTTTCCCTTATTTTGTTTTTTAATTGAAAATTTCCTTTAGGAGAAAGTCCCCAAAGAGGGCTGTATCTGTTTTAGCCACAGGTTTTAATGATAGCATTAAGATACTGGTTTTACTATTAAGATAATTATTCTCTTTTATTTTAGGTATTGTTAGTGTCTTACTGTGCCTAACTCATCATGTATGTATGTATGGATGTATAGGAAAAACAGTGTATAGATAGGGTTTAATATGACCTGCAGTTTCAGGTATCTACTGGGGGACTTGGAACAGCTCCCCTATAGAAAAGTGGGGTATACTGGATTATTCAGTCTCAAAAAGGAAGGAAATTCTGCAATAAGTTGAAATGTAGATGAACTTTGAAGACATTATCTGAGTGAAATATGTATTTTGTCCTAAAGAGACAAATACTATATGATTTCACTTATGTCCTTTGTTTTACTTACATGGGGTACTTAGAGAATCAAATTCATAAAGACAGAAAGTGTAATGGTAGCTGCTGGGGGCAAAAGTGAATGGGGAGTTATTATTTAATAGGTGTAGAACTTCACTTTACATGATGAAAAGAGTTACAGGGATGGATGGTGGTGATGGCTACACAGCAATGTTAATGTATTTAAAACCACTAAACTATACACTTTTAAAAATGGTACATTTTGATTATATGTATTTTACTACAATAATAAAATTGAGGGGAAAGTTACCAACAATCTAAATATATTCCATTTGCAGATTCTTAGTATGTTAAGACATTTCTCCCTACTATACCTTCATCTAAAGTCCTGCCTGAGTCCTTGGTCTTCACTGCTGTTCCCAGTTTACAAAACTCAAGGGTCAAGATTTTCTAGCCACCCAAACCAGTGTTTCTCAAATTTTAATGTGTGTAGAAATCACCTGAGCGTTATGGTAAAATACACACCCTCATTTACTCAGTCTCTGGTGGGATCTGAGATTTTGTATTTTTAGCAAGCTCCCAGGTTATTCAGGTAGTGCTGATCTGTGGACCATCCTGAGTACGAAGATTTCAGAAAACAATTCTCAAAGTTTAAATTTCAGTACCCCTATATACTCTTAAAAATTATTGAGAAGCCCAATGAAAATTTCTTTATTAGACTGTATTGTATTAGAAAACAAACTAAGAAATAGGAAAAATATATTTCCTTTAAAAACAATAATATTAACAATGTGTTATATATAATATTTTTTACCAAAAAACCCTGTATTTCTCCAAAATCACTTTACATTTTTGTAATTATAGCTTTAATAACTGGCACCAATCTATCAGAAATAGATCAAGCAGGCAGGAAATCATTAAGGACATGGATGAACTCAACGCCACCATCAACCAACTGGGTTTAATGGCTATCTATAGACTATTTGATACAGCAACAGCAGAATACACGTTCTTCTCAAGCTCTCATGAAACATTCACTAAGATATATCACATTCTGGGTCATAAAACGTACCTTAACAAACAACAAATTTAAAGGAATAGAAATCATACACTGCTAGCTCTCACACCACAATGGAATAAAGCTAGAAATCAATAACAGAAGATAACTGGAAACAAACAAACAAAAAAGTTAGGGACTAAATAAATAGTACATTAGTCAAAGAAGAAATCTGAAGGGAAATGAAACAGTATTTTGAATTGAATAAAAATTAAAAGAGAACTTATCCAAATTTATGGGATGCTACATAGGTAATGTCTAGAAGAAAAATTTCTAGCATCAAATGTAAATCCAAAGTAAGTAGAAGAAGTGATTTAACAGAAATCAGTTAAATTGAAAAGAGAAAACAATAGAGAAAAATAATGAAGCCAATAACTGGTTCTTGAAAAAAGATCAGTGCAATCAATAAACTTTTATCTAGGCTATATAAGAAAAAAAAAAGGAAAAATTGCCATCAGCAAAATGAGAGGAGGGATAATACTACAGATTTCATGGAAATTAACAGGATAATAAAGAATTACTATGAACAAATCTGTAACCATAAATTTAATAACCTAGATGGAATGAACCAATTCATTGAAAGATACAATCTGCCAAATACACAAAAAGGAGAAAATATGAATAGATCTGTATTTATTAAATAAATTAAATCAATAATAACCTTCCCAAACAGATGATGCCACAAAAGAAAAAACTGATAAAATGGACTTCATTAAAATTAAAAACTTCTGCTATGCAAAAGACACTATCAAGAGCATGAAAAGAGAAGCCAGAGACTGGGAGAAAACATTCGCAAAAAATAAAGAAATATTTTCTAAAGTATATAAAGAACTCTTAAAAGTCAACAGGAAGACAATAACTCTCTTAAAACAAGGGCCAAAATCCAGGCATGCCCCCCAAACCCCTGCTCCCAAGTGGGCCAAAGACCTTAACAGACTCTTCACCACTGAAAATATACAGATTGCAAATAAGCATATGAAAGGAGAATTTCAGGGAAGTAGAAATTAAACAATAATGCCATAATACTCTCTACCTATCAGGATGGCTAAACCCCAGAATGCTGACTGATAATACTGGTGAGGATATGTAGAAACAGGAACTCTATTCATTGCCTGTGAGATACAAAACAACACAGCCACTTCATCAGTTTCTTGCAAAACTAAACATGCTCTTACCAAACAATCCAGCAAGCACGTTCTTTGGTGTTTACAAACGAGTTGAAAATTTATGTCCACACAAAAACATGCAAATGGACTATTTGTGAAAATAAAAAATAGTAAAGCTCCTGGAGAAAATGGTATGGAAATTTCTCAAGCTAGAAATAAAAGTTACATTATCCAGAAATTCCACTTCTGGGCATATAATTAAAATAATTGAAAGCAGGCTCTCCAAGAGAGATGCGTACACCCTTGCTTGTACTTGCATTACTCATACTAAAACGTGGAAGCAACCAAGTGCCCATCGGATGAATGCAAAAGTAAAATGTGGTATACACAAATAATGGAATGTAATTCAGTATTAAAAAGGAAGGAAATTCTGCAATATGCTACAACATGGACGAACCTTGAAGACATTATGCTAAGTGAATGGAATAGGCTAGTCACAAAAAGACAAATACGATTTGCATTTGTATTACATTATTATTATTATTATGGTATTATATTCTGGCTAAATCTCCTTGATAGGATTTTTGCTGAAGATGGGCCAAGGTAGTCAGATACTGAAGGTGGAAGATTCTGGCTAAACAGACTCCATCAGATTCTTGCTAAAACAATACTAAGTAGGCCAAGAACAGAGTCCAAGGTTAGATCTTTGAGGACATCCTCTAAGTCCTCTAACTAGTTAGGTCATGGAAAGAGTCTTTGTCATCGCAGTAGTTACTATTTTCTTTTTTAAAAGATTTATTTATTTATGCATACATACACGAACTGGGATACAGGCCAGAGGTGAGGGGGGTGGGGTGAGAGAATTCACCAGAGACAGAGTGGGCAACAGAACAGGCATCAGATTTACTGAAATACACTGCTGAGGGAAGCAGTTGGCAAGAAAGGAGAGGTCTGCTGCCCATGTGGGTAGCTCCCTGGCCAGGGATCGAACTAGTGCTGCAGTGCCTGCAGATTGCTACATAGGTTGCATCTGAACCCCCTGTGCCACCAGGGAGGCCCAGTAGTTACTATTTTCAATTATGTTTTATGACAAGGTTATACTCTCTGGCCTATAGCCTACTTCCCAAGGGTTCCCCTAAAGTTGGGTTAGGAAGATCACTCAATGTCTACTTCCTTACAAAGGTACATTTGAATGAAAAAGGCATTCAAGATAGGTTTTCTCCACCCCACCCCCATTCCCTTATTTCCACACATTAATGGATGAATACCAGAATGAAAAAAGATGCAATCCCTTCCCAGAACCTAATAAAAGTAACTGGTATATGATTCATATACCCCTGAATAGCGATGCAAAGCCATGTTTCTATTCCTGTAAAATAAGACTATCATTATATACCTTTCAGAGCTCTTATGTATATAGCTCAGCCTAATAAATGGCAGTAAAAATTACATATAGTAAAACATATGGAAATACCCATATACAATATAAACACAATATAATACAATGATGTCCTTTTTTTCATCTTTTTTATATTGTCACATATATTCCAACTGATGACAGGTACTCAAAGAAAGAGGTAGAAAGGGTCTGAAAAGATGGCTGAATTTCAACAGATGGAAATAGCAAGGTGAAAGGTCAGAGGTGGAAAAGCATGGTGAAAACAAGGGCATGGCAAGCAGTGTGATATGTCTGGAATGTAGGCTGGCTGGTTGGAGTTGGAGTCATGCGGGAGATAAGGATGGGACCAAATGATGCAAGGCCTTAACATGATGTTACATTACTTCACATTAATGTCTACAAATGCTCTCTGGTCACATTTTTTATGGCAGTCATGTGGAGAATGGACTGTTGATGCAGAAGCAAGGGCTTCATTAAGAAGCTGTTGCAATAGTTCAGAAGAGACAAAGAAAATGGTAAAAGAGGGAAAGAGATGAATGCCAGAAATTTTCCTCCCAAAGGATCTAATAATACCACTTTTCCAGGCAAGAGAATTATGCAATGATTATTGGGGATGTGTGAAAGATTCTAATACAAACATGGTATTAGGAATATAGCTATTTAGGGGGGAGCTGCTAATGGAAAAGAATAAGTCTTGGAGAAGAGGGTATGATATAGTAACCAGGTTATATTTAATATGGGATATAAGTGCATTTAAATAAGATAGTGATCTTGTAAAATAGGGACTCCAAAGTTAGAGTACTCAGATCCATACCATTTAACAAAATTCTCTCTCCAAAAATCCTTTCTGACTCTCACTTCTGGGCCCTTTGAAAGTATTTAGTGGGGGAAGGCAGAAGGACTCATCTGTTTACTTGTCTTTCCAGATGGACTCTGAGTTCCATCTGGAACAAACCAGGTCTGGCCAATCAGTTTCCCTTGTAACTAGTGGGTCTGGTGCACACACACACAAATAAGTAAATAGTGAATAAAAGAAATGAGTTGAGATCTACTTCATTGACCGAATGACTATTGGGATCATTCTCATCTTACTTGTTTCTTTACTTTGCATAGGATGCTTCTTGAGTTGTTTGTTCATTCCATCAAGAGTGCCTACTCTAGCTGGCAATGTGCCAGGACTTGCACAAAGGAGGAGCAGATGATTAACCTTGATCAGACTATGACAGAGACAAACACAGGACTAAGGGCACAGAGGAAGTGACTGTTCTAGTCTGGAGGGTCAGGAGAGGTTTCCCAGGGAAAATGAGGTTGAGTCCAGCAAGGACACGTGGGAATAAATGGTTAGCCTGATGAGAGGTAGAAGGTTGAGAATGGGGAGAAATAAGTTTCTGTCAGAAAACAATACTGGTAGCCTAGAACTTGGAAAATGTGAACGGGCAATGCTGTTAACGAGATTGGGGAGTCAGATCTGTAAACCATTTAAGAATTAATAGTCATAATGGTCACGACAGTATTGGAAAGTCATTGAAGGTTATAAACGGGGACTGCCAAGATCAGATTTATATTTTAAAAACAAAACCCAACTCTGCAGAGAATTTGGATGTGGGCCATGGTGAAGACAGGGAGAATAGCTAAGAGTATTGCAATAATCTGGGGGGAAAGACATGGCAGTGGCTCGGACTATGGTGGCGGGAATGGAAAGAAATAGAACCATCTGAGACAAACAACTGGAAGAATAATCTCCAAGGTTGCACTGGAGGAGGCTAAGGAAGGCATTGGAGAGGTAGGGCAGGTTCATGCATGAGCTTAGACTTTGTTCTGAAGGGACAGAGGGAGAGTCATTTAACATTTACCCTGGGAGTAATACAATCAGATACATGTTTATAAATAGCTCACTTGGCAGGAGGTGGCGAGACGACAGTCAGAGTCGTGCCCAGGTAGGAGCTGAGCCCAGCTGGGAGGGCGAAGTGGCTGTGGGGGAGACCAGAGGTTTCCGAGCCCCTCGCCCCGCCAACCGTCAGCGCCTCAGAAACTGACTCAGCCCCAGAGCAGCTGCGGCCGGAGGAGCAGGCGCGCAGCCGGGGCCGCCCACACCTCCCGGCGCCGGGGGCGGGACCAGAGCACGCACGGCGGCGTGACGCAGGCCCGCAGCTGGCCTCGTTCTGGCCGCCGCCGCCGCTCTGAGGCGGAGTAGGATGAGGCCCGCGGCCGCGGCTCGGGCGTCGGCGGGGGCAGCAGCAGCTGAGGCAGTAGCAGAGGCAGCCGCGACGGCCGCGCCCCCCCCTCCTGACCTGGATTAGGCCCAGCAGCTCCGTGGCCGCCGCCGCCCCGCGGGGGGGCGGGGTGGGGAAGTGCTTCGTCTCCCCGCCCCCCCCCCCACCGCCGCCCGGCAGGAGGCAACCGCCGCGACCCCGGCGGAGCCCGCGGCCCAGCCTTGAGCCCCCACCCCCGGGGGCTGGCATGAGAGGCTCCTCGGCGGCGCCGGGGGGCGGGGGAGCCGCCGCCGCCTGAGCCCCGGCCTGCGCCGGACCCCACCTCGCCGATCGCGGAGCGTGCGAACTACCCCGCCACTGCTTTCTCCCTCCCCCAGATCACACACCCCAGCCTCGGAAGATGGGGAATTGCCTCAAATCCCCCACTTCGGATGACATCTCCCTGCTTCACGAGTCTCAGTCCGATCGGGCCAGCTTTGGCGAAGGGACGGAGCCGGATCAGGAGCCGCCGCCGCCATATCAGGTAGGGAAGGGTGTGTGTTGGGGGGGGGGGGGGACGAGGTGTAGAGGCTGCCCCGGGAGAGATGGCGGGTGGGGGGCTTCGGGGCCGTCGGGGCCCCTGGCTTTGTCAAGGCCTGACCCCGGGGTCACTGGCCCCCTTAGGGCTGCATCTGAGGGTGATTGCTCCAGACTGTCAGGGTCGGGGTGATCTCTCCCCCCCCCCTCAAGCACTGAGCGGGGATGGTACTCTCTGTCCTTGAGTTCTGGGATCCGAGTGTGGGATCAGATCCCCCTGATCAGCGGGTTCGCTTGTAGAGTTTGGGAGTGACATTTTTCCTCCCATTAAGGCCGAAGCGTGGAGTGCGAGCTTTGGGATTTGGGGATGATTTCCTCATCGCACAGCCAACTGGATTGTGGGTCTGGATAGGTGCCCCCCCCCACCTCGTTTATATTTTCTTGGGTTAGTATCCTCGCCTCTCCTCTTTCCTTCATCTTCCCCACCCCGTCTGTTAATTGGATCTGGTAGTGATTATTTCTTCTACTTGGGAGAAGATGTTGAAGTGGGATTTTGGTCCCGTGACATCGAGTTGTTTATATATATATGTACATGTATTAATCTCTCCTCCTCTTGCTCCGCCCCTATGACACACCTTTTAAACGCGCTGACTTAATAAAACTTGATTATCTTGAACTTTGGAAACCTTTACACCAGACTTGAAAAATACCGTCGTTACTTGTGATTCTTCCTTTTTATCAGACTTTCTGCTAAATAGTTTCATTGATTTTTGTATAGCAATTAATAGCCCCAGATGTGTTTACACAGTTAATAGCTAAGACCCTTGAGAAAACACTAAATAGACATGTAGATGTTATACTCGTATTTTTTAAAAAACACCTTTCCTCTACTTTTTCAATTTTACACGATGCTGATTAAAAACTTTTTTCCCCAGAAGGTCTTGGATAGTTAAGTGGCTTAATTTTTTCCCGAAGGAGGTTTAGTTTTCTAACTGGGTAGTCCCCTTTGTTGTTTCATGTGGTGACATCATTATCTAGTGTTAATCATTTTCTCATTCCTGTGTAAACCAGTGTCTCATCACACCAGAAAAACCTGATCACATATGCTGGTTTTCTGAATAAAACCCTTCAGGTGCTTTCATATATACCAATAAACTCCAATATTAATTGTGGTATATGGAAACTTCCATGATTAATTGCTCAGCTTCTATATTCCAGGCCTGCCAAATACACCAGGCTACTCACACCTCTGCCTTTGCTCCTGTTGCTCCCTCTGCTTGGAGCCCTTCCCCCAAGGTCAGCCAGGTGAACATCTGATCCTCTTTGAGGACTCAGCTCTCCTCCTGTCTGAAGACTCTACTTTCCCCTCCCTTCTACCTGAATCTATACTCTATTGCTTGTGTCCCCCCAGAGCCTCTTACACCTCTATAGGCTACACAGGTGACACTTGCTTAGTTGGATGGATGTCTCATACTTGAAACATTACCCTCCCATGCCATTGTAAACAGTGTGAAGGTAGGGAGACCATGTCTCCTGTTTGTGGTTGTATCCCTTGAATTTGGCTCATAGTAGATTCATTGTAGACACTCAGTAACAGTGGAATAAGAGAAAACTGTAAACCCTTGAGAACAGGGAAATCTTAGTGCAGTTTTGGTGCTTATATATTGAATGAATTAATGAATTTGAGTTCATTGTGTGTTTTGTATGTTTACGTACCCATTTGTTTGAAAGAATTATCACAAGGACAAGTCTTAAAAATCTAAGCTGAGTCTGTATATCCTTCTGAATCTTTGAAAGCAAGTAAATTGTTTATATTTCACTCTTGTTTCCATCGTAAATGCTAGACAATAATGTGCTTATTTCAGTTTCGTTAGCAAATATTTTTGGAGATAAGAATTTTTATTTTAAAACCTCCTCCCTCATTCTAGAGCCTCTTTCCAGACAGTTGAATATCTTTGACTTACTGCACTTTTTCTGCTATCTTTATAATACAGTATTGAGGATAATTTCTTTACAATTTGTGGGAATTGTGTTTACCTTTTCCAGGAGGGCTAGGTCACAACCAGAATTTTTTTGGTTTCATGAAGGATTTCATGAACATTTTCTGAAAGATGTTATTTGTGTCAGTTTTATTAAGTTCCAGTTATTTCCTATTCGTATCTGGCAGATTTGATTGGCTGGCTGATTGTTTTGCTAAAGTAACACTACATCATTATGGCCAGAGTTTATAAGAAATAGAGATTTTTTTCCTTGGCTTTCTTTAGTAGCCTCCTGACTGGTCTCACCCTTACCCTAACTGTAGCCATTTCTTAACCCAGCAGCCAAAGTGATTCTGGTAAAACATTCCTCCACCTTCTGTGTATCTCTGTTTCGTTACAATTAAAAGCAAAATCCCTTCCAGAGTCCATAAATCCTACATAACCTTTACCTTCTACCCCTATACATCCTTCTCTTGACTCCTCTCCTACTGCAGTTCCCCACTACTGGCTTCCCTTTAGCCTCTCTGGCCTCCTTGTTCCTAGGGTACTCCCTACCTTTGCACCACTTGTTACTGCCTGAAGTGCTATTCCTTCTGGTATCAGCATGACTGACTCTCACCACCTTCAAGCCTTTACTCAAATGACAGTATTTTTAAACCCTCTCTGATCATCCTGTTTAATGTTATAACCTGTTCTATCATCCAGGCTTTCTCCCTTACCCTGTTTTGTTCCTCTTCCCCCCCATAGCATTTATCACTTCCTAACATACTATCTTTACTTAATATATTTGTTTATTACTGTCTTCTCTCACTAGGTGGTTAGTCCCCTGAGGAAGGGATTTTTTTTTTTAAATTGGTTTTTTCCAAATACCTAGAGCATTGCCTGGCACATACGAGGCATGCAATTATTGATTGAATGGGATTTATTTTAAATGAATTAGTATATATTTTTTTAAAGATTTATTTATTTATGCATACAAGAGCTGGGGTACAGGCCAGAGACACGGTGGGGTGAGAGGATTCACCAGAGACAGAGTGGGGAACAGAACAGGCGGACTGACTGAAACACTGCTGAGGGGAGCAGGGGGCGAGACAGGAGAGGTCTGCTTTGCCCTGTGGGTTGCTCCCTGGCCAGCCGGGGATCGAACTCGTGCTGCAGGGGCTGCGGTTTGCTTCATAGTGCAGTGCTTAACCCCTTGCGCCACCAGGGAGGCCCTAGTATATTTATTTTGAAGCAAGTGCAGTTGAATGTGTTAAAAAAAAACTATGTGTATTCCTAGTCCCACTTTTCCTATATTGTGAGTCATTTTGAAGGAATCAATACTGAAAAACAGACAATATTAAATATGGGAATTGGTTTAAAGTAATTATTGAAAAAATGATTTAAGTTTTCCTTCAATAGGTACATATTCTTTTTTTTTTAAATAAGATTTATTTATGCATACAAGAGCTGGGGTACAGGTCGGAGGCGTGGGGGGGTGAGAGGATTCACCAGAGACAGAGTGGGGATCAGAACAGGCAGATTGACCGAAGTACACTGCTGAGGGGAGCAGCGGGCAAGGCAGGAGAGGTCTACTGCACCATGTGGGTTGCTCCCTGCCTGGCCGGGGGATTGAACTTGTGTTGCAGAGGCTGCGGATAGCTTCATAGGTGCGTCTTCATCCTTTGCACCACCAGGGAGGCCCCTCAATAGGTACATATTCTACAACAAAATGTTTATTGCGAGAGTACTTGAATCCTTATTCTTAAAGAAGTGGGAGGGATGAAGTTAGATAGAGTTTTTCTTGATTTAGATGGTAAAAAGAAAGAAATTTGGCATTCCCTCCACTCAGCTCTCCTTCCTGAATGTTTAAAAAGAAACAAAGGAAATCTGCCCATCAAGAGCAGTCTTAGAAGGGTTGTGAGAGGAAGGTCAAGTCTTGAAAAGCTGAGAGATGTGAAAGTCCAAAAAAAGGTAGGTAGCCCAGCACTGAAAGGTAGATGTGAACACATTGTGGTACCTCTGTCACTCTAAGACTCCTGTTTGCCCTATGCTAATTCAAAACTGGTACTCTTTAAAAAGAACTTTAGTATTTATTGAACAACAATAAAAGTCACTTCATAGTATTTGTATATGAATATATATGTATGTCTCAACTGTGTGTGTGTGTGTAGATTGGTATCTCATTTTTTCTGTAGTTATATAGTTTGAGATTTATTAATCTTCCTCCTGCCTACACTTTGTGATTAATATATTTGATATTTTAAAATCAGGAGAAAATAAGTTATTGTTAAAACAGCAGTAAATACAAGTGTAGCTCTGGTTTTGGAGTCAGATGCATCTGAGTTCATATTCCAGTTGTCACTTACATAGAAAATATGAAAAAGGCAGGAGAGTTTATCACATTGTCTTGTGTTTTAAGAAACTTTTTTTCATAATTAACAAAATATAACATTTTTGGACATACCAAATTATGACTGAATAAAACTTTCTTCAAGCTACATTAAAAAAAGTTTTGTTTTGGGCCTCCCCGGTGGTGCAGTGGTTGAGCGCTGGGTTGAGAAGCTGCCCGCGGCCTCTGCAGCGCTGGTTCGATCCCCAACTGCTCCCCGGCCACCGGAGGAGGGTCCCACATGGCGCGCAGACCCCTCCTGCCGCCCGCTGCTCCCCTCAGCAGTGTCCTTCGGTCCTTCTGCCTGCTCTGCTCCCCGCTCTGGCTCTGGTGAATTCTCTCACCCTCCTGTGCTTCTGACTGTACCCAGTGCTTGTATAAAT